CCTAGCAGGGTGCCATCTGTGTTGTAGAAGAGGAGGCAGGATGAAACTTTAATAAAATTTCTCATCAAATGGCACCAGATAGCACACTATGGTCAGAAAAAGGTTAAAAACAACACAAACCCTCTACTGGTATGAAAACAAGTATAAATGTATTCTTTATCTACAATCAATTTTATATGTTTAGATTAAACATATCCATACAAGTTCACTATTTTAAAAAAAATTTAAATTCTCATGAAGGGGTTGAGAACATAGTTCAGTCAATGAAAGTGTTTGCTTTGTAAGCACAAGGACCTGAATTTGATTCCCAGCACCCAGGTAAAGCTTGGTGCAACAGCATGTACCTATAATCCCAGTACTGGGGAGGCAGAAGATCCATGGGGCTTGCTGACAGTCTAGCTGAAATCGCAAGGTCCAAGTTCCATGAGAGCTCCGGCTGGCCTCAAAAATAACAAGGTGGAGAGTGATTGAGGAAGACACCTGACACCAACTTCTGACCTCCACAAGCATGCACACACACATATGTACACGCACACACACAAACACATTCACCTGCATACACCACACAAAGCCAAGAGCCAAGAACACATGAGGACAATGTGTTCTGAGCCACTAAAGTTCACAGCTCTGTGGGATGCAGAGAGCCACTGACTGGCAGGAGCTGAGACTTAAAGGCCTGAATCTGCACACATGCTGGGAAGCCTTGTACTTCTTCTCTAGGAAGAAGACTCGCCATTGTGATAGGGAGTGGAGGTGGGGTGGGGGTGGCACTGGGCCACTTCTAACTCTGATCACCTGTGGGATCTGTCCCAAAATTGGAATAGAGGCCAGACTCTGTTAGATAATGGCTAAGCAGGGCAGCAGGGTCAGTCCCTGCAGACCGCACTCCTCCTACAATGGGTGTCTTTGCTCTGGAGTTTCTATTAGGCACATATGGGCAACCACATATTAACACGCACACACACACACACACACACACACACACACACACACACACAAATTCTCAATTGCACTGGGAGCCATAATTTGCATTTTAGTTTTCTTAATAAAAGATGGTATACAAGTACTGATTTCTATATAAGAATAGACTTGGCACAGGATATTTAAAATTACATTCCATCTGGTATATATTTTAGTAATTAAGATAAATGACTGTATTTAACTTTCAGACATGAAAGGAAAGGGGAGCTGTGGACTCTTTTGCCAGATCCTCCTGATACCTCCTCATCTTGCAGTGTAGAGAAGACTTTCTAGATCTTTCGTTGGCAGCTACAGCCAGCACAACTCTGAGTCACCCCTGCTGCTAGGGGGTTAAGTCTTCGCAGGATACTTTTACACACAGTGAGGAACTGTCCACAGTTCTGTTCTGAGTAGACACCATGGCAAAGGCCTGTGCTGCAAACCCTCAGACATTTACTCTCTGATCCTTTACAAGAGATTCATAAAACCTTAGTCTTGACCACCATTGTCTTAAGTATATAAAACACAGATCTCACTCAGGATTTTGGGTCATCTAGTAGACATCTTAAAACAGCATAAAAAGAAGATGGCTAAAGTTGGTTTTAATAACATGCTTTATTTAATCTTGTATATCCAAAATTCATTCATTGTAACACATTGTTTGGTCTTATTTCTAGTCCTCAGCTGTTACTTGTGAATTTTGGGGGGGGGGGTCTTTTTGAGACAGGGTCTCCCTGTAGCCCCAGCTGGCCTGGAACTCACTATGTAGACCAGGCTGGCCTTGAACTCAGAGATCCGCCTACCTTTGCCTCCCAAGTGCTGGGATTAAAGGCGTGAGACACCACACCAGGCTACTTGTGCTTTTTAATGTCGCTACCTTAACAGTTCAGCTCTGAACAAGCAACCAGGGACTCTATGGGGAGACCCATTCTGTTTAAAATAGTTCAGCAGAGCCCCTCTGGGACACTACAACTGACCCAAGTTGCGGCCGTTAAAATAATCCTGCTTATCCTTTTACTCAACTTATGGACAAGAAACACAATAAAGGAATTGAAAAACAACCAACCAATGGATGAAATGGGACTATTTTCCTTAAAATACAACAAAACTGCAAGATTCCGGCCATGGTGAAATGATTTGAGTCAGGTTGTTTATTCCCTACTTCAATGCTAAATTCTTCCCACAGAAACTTGCGAAGGTGTTATCTTGTTTCATCCTCTTCTGAATCTAGAAAAGCAGCTTTCCAGCACTAATATGATACTGTATTCCTTTAAGTGCTTCCAGACTCTGACCCTCCTTTCCTGTACCAGGGACTTCTCCCTGCTCAGTGGCACAGAGCCAACCATTCCATCATTTCAAAGTGGTCCCATTTTAAAATAATTTTTATTGCATTTTATGTTCTCTTCATAATCTCTCCCCTCATATTTCTAAATACTCTCTAAAAGCAGAAATAAAAACTAAATAGAACATTCCTGAAACATGTTGGCTAACCCAGAGTTCATTACATGGATTGGACATGTTGCTCTGTCTAAATTGCCCAGCCCTTTGCTGCAGAACACACACACACACACACACACACACACACACACACACACACACACACACACACACATCCCACACACAAGACAGATCTACAAAGTAATCTAATGCTCATAGGCTCTCTGTCCATTTTTCCCACTGAAGAATGAGTATGATTCAAATATTCTTTGAAGGTGATTATTTTTCTTATGAAAACTCATGAAACATTTTCTATATTGAATAAATAGCTTGTGGGCTAAGGAGATGGCCCTATAGATAAAGCACTTGCCAAGCAAATATAAAGACCAGAGTTTGGCTGCCCAAGCCCACATGAAAGCCAAACACAGTAGTGCACATCTGCAATCACAGTGCTCCTAATGAGAGATGGGAGGCAGAGACAGGAGAGTCCACAGAAGCACAAAGTCCTCTATGCTGGGGTCTGTGACAGTGAGCAACAGAGAGACCCCATGTCAAACCAGGTGGAGGGCAAGGACCAGCACCTGAGGCTGTTCTGACCTCCGCTCACACACTGTAACATGTGTGTGCTTGTACCACCCCCCACAAACACATCATGCTCACACAGAAGCGGAATAATAACATAAACACCTTTGAAATTTCATACCAATGTTTTAAATTAAAAATGATTAAGGTAAAATAGTCTCTGCATCCTAACTCTAAGAGGATAAAAACCTAAAAGACCCAGAAATGGAAGGCAGTGATGGGGAGTAAATAACTGGAGAATGTGAGACTGAGAAGCACAAGTACAAAATCCACAACCACACTAAATTCAGTAGCAACAGGTGCATGAGCTCACAGCTCACAAGAAGCCACAGTCCTGTCTAGTTCAGTTCTCCACTACAAAGAACGAAGTTTGGAATTATAGTCAGTTCAGGTAAAGGGAAGCAACTAGAAAATAAACTTGAAATCCTCCTACAAATAGGAAGACAAGACCCCCAGATTTCATTGCTTTTTGAAGCCAACAAAGAAACAAAATTATATACAAAAAGTGAAATCTATGTATACCGTCATCACTACCTAAAGGGTAGCTCTGAGTTCTCCAAGAAACTAAAAGAAATAGCAGTCGGTTTACCTTTTAGGAACTGAATTGCTCAAAATGGCCCTTAATGAATGTGATTTTCTCTAGTTGATCTTACTCATCCAAAACATAAGGTCAAGAGGCACCCAAATCTCATCTACCATTCTAGAACAATCCCTCCTACCCCACCATGATGTATGTTCATTGTCCAAAATGATGAATTTCACAAAGATGCCATCAGCTGAAGGGGGAAAATGCAGCTGAAGTTGGAAGTCTAAATGGGATAGCAAAAAGAGAAATGCTAGGACTGGAGAGACGGCTCAGTGGTGAAGAGCTCTGGCTGCTCTTGCAGAGGAGCTGGGTTTGGTTCCCAGCACCCATTGCAGCTAACAACCATCTGTAACTCCAGTTCCAGGGGATCCAATACCCTCTTCTGTCCTCTGCAGGCATTGCATACATGAGTGCACTTAAATCCATACAGGCAAAGCACTTACACACTTACAAGAAAAATAAATAAATCTTTTTATAAAAAACAAAATTTATACTTATTAGATAATACTATGAAAAATATTTGCATGAAAAAGTAAAAATGGCATCAGTGAAAGAGGCTAAGAGGATAACGTGGGGGCTGGGGAGACAGCTCAGTGGTTAAGAGCATTGGCTGCTGTTGCAGAGGACCCAAGTGCAGCTCCCAGCATGCATGTGGCAGCTAACAGCCATTTGTAACTCCAGTTCTAGGGGACTGTACACACTCTTCTGGCTTCTGTGGGTACTGTAGACATGGGTATACTTACATACAGGCAGGCAAATACCCATACATATAAAATACAAATAAAAATAAATAAATAAATAAATAAATAAATAAATAAATAAATAAATAAAGAGAGGATATCTTGAAGGTATAAAATAGAAAAGAAACAGCTCAAAAAATAAGAGTAAAGTATTATAACACACTTAGAAAAGAAAAATAACAAAGTCAGTCCAAATTTCTGTTAAATTGATTGAGTTATGAGTGAATGCATATTCATTCACGGATATTAACTGAGGGTGAACACCTTCGGGGCCTGGTCCTCTGCAGGCAAAGAGTATCGAAATTGTCTGTGGAATGAACTAATTTTTCTGATAAATGTTTTATTTGAAGCAAGCCATCTGTAAAAGATGCTGAAAGTTCAACTGAAAGATTGAAAATGGACCCAAACTCAGAACATAATCACCACCTTTGTAAAACACCTATAATCTGAGTTGATATGATATTAACTCAATTTTTAAATAGCTGGAAACTCTGCTATCAAAAATATCCCCAAAATAAAGCTCCCTTTGGGATATGGTCCTGTCATCTTGACCCACACAAGATCATCTGCTAGATGCCATCAGATCATCTGAGTTCCTGCTGTGGTGCTGATAGGTGAGGGCATGTTTGGGGGAGCCACGCAATTCTTACTCCAGCGAGTTTATTCTCAGGGACAGAAGGTAGATGTGAACGTACCTCAAACGAAGACTCCAGCTGCAGACCAGGACAGGGCACAGGCCCGGGCTGGTGGGAGCCAGAGGCTCTCTGCTCTATAGTTTTGTGCCTCTGTCCCTCTAATGCCACTGACAGCATGGGCTCGGGTTTGACCAGCTGCGACTCCTCACCACAGCTCAGAATAATCCTTGCTCTTTCTCCTGTTTCATGTCTTTCCAAAGTGCCTGAAAAACAAAATTTAAAAAACCAAAACAAAAAATAAAAGACATGGATATACAGCCTTCAGGTAGATTTCAATGGTAATGTTTTTCACATCTACTAATTATTAAGGAGCAAATTTTTATGCTTTGAAGAATTTTTTTAATGTAAGGAAAACATTTACCTGAATAGACTATAAAGACATGAGGAAAAATTTTTCTTTTTTAAAAAATATTTTATTATTATTATTTTTTATGTGTCTAAGTGTTTTGTCTGCATGTATGCAAGTGTGCCTGTGATGCACAATGCCTGCGGAGGTCAGAAGACAGGATCAAATTCCCCTGGAACTGGGGTTATAGACAGCTGTTCACTGCTATGTGGGTGCTGGGACTTGAACCCAGATCCTCTGCTAGAGCAGTCAGTGATCTTAACCACTGAGTCATCTCTCCAGCCCCAAGGAAACATTTTTCACAGAAGGATCCTGGTTCTTCAATTCAGCATTTTCTAAGTTATCCAAACTGTGTCATCAAGTATGAAATGACAGACCTGAGAAGCTCATGTTCTTCTGTGAACTTTATTACCAATGACATTAAAAGGACATTCAATAGTCTTTATTTTTTATTTTTATTTTTTATGTTCATGACTGTATTACCTGCCTGTGTCATGCAAAGCCTGCAGAGGTCAGAAGAGGGCATCAGATCACCTGGAACTGGAGTTAGGACAGTTCTTAGCCACCATGTGGGTGCTAGGAATTGAACCCAGGTCCTCTGAAAGAGCAGCCAGTGTTCTTAACCACTGAGACAGCCCTGACATTCAATAGTCTTTCACATGAAAATTTCTCACTATCCAGTATGCATGTGATTTAATAACAGCTATTAAATATTTGGTACTGTCCTCTAGTGTCCCAACTCGCAAACAACAGAGAGTCCATGGTGCCCTGTCTAGGGTTCCCAGTCTTGCTAAGTTCCCATTGGTAATGTGTAATTTAACTGATTAGATTAAGTAAGAGCTCAGATGGTTCAGTGTGTTACTCCCTCAAATACTCCCTAGCATTTGTTGTTGTTTTTATTACTGGAATTGTGGCTATCAGAACTCTTTTCTTTTTATTTCTTATGTCATTAGAGGGGAGTTAAACTCCTCTGCCCTCTGCCACCCTTCCAGTTCCTGAAGCAGTGATGGGAAGTTCAAGTTTTAGGAACAAGCATAAGGAAGCCAGAGAGATGCCTCACTAGGTAAGAGTGCTTGCTGCTCCTACAGAGGACACAGGTTCGGTTCCCCACACTCACACGGTGGCTCACAACTCACACAGTATCACTATGGATATTTCCTTAAAAGTTTTCTATGGCTCCACAGATTTGGTATTCTGAAAACATTTTGAAAGTTGTTTGAGAGTAATCTGCTAGGTGGGACTGGCTTTCATAGTATTTATGAGTTCATTTGTATTTTAATATCGTGTTAAATACATAACATATATCCAACTGAATAAAAATGTTAAGAAATATTATAAATAATACCTAAATAGAGATTTCTTTTCATACTAGTTTTTTCCTACCAATGGGAAAAATTGTAATGTGTTAAAGAGAATGATAATTAATTCTTATGGACAGTATTTAGAAAAAACCGTCTAAAGTAATTACATTAGGGAAATACTAGTAAAAATGGTAGACTGTTAGGCCTTCAGATAGGTAGGCCGATAGGAAACTGTCACAACCCAACCCTTTCTCAGTTTTCCCCTCCCCCATGTTAGCTGCGTCATTATTAGTTGACACTTGGAACTCTGAATCGATAATGGTCTTTATATTATAGCCTAGGCAGAACTTTAGTCTCGTATCTCTTGAAAATATTTTCCACTGTAATATTTCTGTATTAATAAATAAACATGCTTAATACCAACATCTAAATGCATCTTTCTAAGCTTTTCTTTTCTGTGAATACTGAGATATTTTCAACCAGTGGCAATGGCAGCAACACCAAGAAAATCTTTTCTCTCAAGAATGACAGTAGGAAAAGTTTATCAGATCCAAGACAATAGCACCCTTTCCTAGAGACTGGTCACATTCTGGAATTCACAACCCTAACATCTGTTGCCTTTCTGAATCTCTCTTTGAACCTGGTCTCACTATGAATACTTCCATCTTACAGGTTTTCTTTGGCTCCACAGCTTTGATATTTTGAAAATGTTTTAAGAGTATTTTTTAAGTGTCTTACCATGCTACCTGACAGTGGCTTTGAACTCCTGGGCTCAAGTAGTCCTTCTGCCTCTGCCTCTCAAGTAGTTGAGAGTACAGGCCTGGAAAACCATGGCTGGCTTTTGACAGTCCTTGAGAAATAATTTGTCACGCTTTAATCACATAGTAGATGCCTTACCCTGAGTATATCAGACATGCATACCTTTCCTTCTACTGTTTTACAGAGCAGGATCATTTCTTGAATTATCCATGGATGGCCATAGCTTACCTACACATGTGAATGATTGTGATCCGCTTCCATTCCTGCACAGATACCGAGTCTGCTTCATCTACTGTGTGCCACTCAATGTGACCGGTTGACAATGTGTGCTAGAAAGGAATGGCTCAGTCCACAGCCCCTGAGTTTACGTAGAGTCTCAGGGCCATGCAAGAGCCAGAGCTACAATATTTAAAGTGCACACATGCTATTTCCATCAATAAATGAAAATCTCCCATTCTAATACATCATTGGAGATTTGATTATTATTATTAATAGTAATTCCTATCAAGGGAGCTAATTCTTTATACTATGACTTCTTTTCAAATCACTCTTGTTTTTTCTCCCCAAATGAGAAACTTTCACAAATCACTTATCAAAATTCATGGAATTTACACCACATCAAGTGTATTTTCAAATTGTTAGAGGAATCCATAGCACAAACACATGACCAAGAAAGGAGGGAATAACCACAAAGAAGATTGCTAATGAGGGTGGCTATTGGGAGAATTTCTCCTCTGGGGAGACATAAATAACACCTACCCTTCTTCCTAAGGTCTGAAGGACAAACCAGAGCTCACCCTGGGGATCCAGTGAATCTACTGGTGAAGGGCATGAGTGGCAGCATGGGTGACCCTAATGTAGATGCAATGGAAGTTCTGCAATGAGTAAGGGAGATGGCTCCCCGACGGCTGTGTAAATGGAGCTCTCTTTAATTAACCTTTGCCAGTCTGTATACTCTAGTACCTCCCCTAGACCCCAAGGCCATATGCAGTTAGGGATGACATGCATACAACTGGATGGGAAGAAAGGCTGGGTACTCCAGTGAGTTTCCAATGCCTATCCCAGCCCTTCCCTCTATGAGGGAACATCAATAGTCCGTAAATCAGCACTGATGGACTCACATGTCTGCACAGCTGACCTCATGTTGAAGGCTGCTTGGCGTGGAGGACTGTGTTCTGTAACAGTGCCTTTAGTGCCTCTAAAAGTTTCCTTTTGAAGCAAACAGTGGTCACCACTTCCTAATGCTAAAGGCTCAGAACCTGAAGGTTTATAAATCACTTAATTCAATTTCTAACTTCAAGAAAACTTTTACATGGAGCTGGAAAAATGGCTCAGCAATTAACAGGGCTTGGTGTTCTTCCAGGGGACCTGAATTCAGTTCCCGGCATCCATATCAGGTAGCTCACAATCTCCTGTAACTCCAGCTTCAGGGGATCTGACATCCTCCTCTGGCCTCCAAGGGCACACATGCACACAGACACAGACACTTAAAGTCTTAGAACGTTTGCTTTTCTACGTAAATTCAATGATAATTCAGAGATTTTCACTGTATTCCATCAAGAATATGAGGTAACACACTCCACTGAATTCATCTTAACAGGAAATGTGTGAGGTCTCTTTACAAGCAGATGTAGGAAAGCACCATTAAATCTATAATGCAAAAACTCAAGCTAGGCATGATGGCTCATGCCTGTTACAGCACTGGAGAGGCTGAGGCAGAAGGATTGCCATGAATCGATGCAGCCTGGGCTGCAAGGTAAGTGACAAACCAGCTTGGTATAGAGTGAAACTCAAAAAGCAAACGAACCCTGGCATGATGGGGAACACCCTTAATCTCTGTGAGACAGAGGCCAGCCTGGTCTGCACAGCAAGTTCCAGGGAAGCTGTGCTGCAGGAAGACCCTCCTCAAAAAAAAAAAACAAAAAAAACCCACTTAATTAGAGAGATGGCTCTGCCAGAGGACTTTGGTTCAGTTCCCAGCACTTAGATGGTGGCTCACAGCCATCTGTAACTGCAGTTCCAGGGGATCCAAGGCCCTTGTCTTGTTTCTGTGAGCATTGTATGCACAGGTACACTTACATACTACAAGCAGGCAAAACACTCAAAAGCATAAACATAAAAATAAATAAATTAAAATTTAAAATACTTTCCAGTAAATATTGTGTAATTTATTTGGCATTTTATTAGTATGAGTTTTGATATAATTTCTTTTCAGCCCAAGCTGCTCCCTATGGACCATAGCACTGAAAAGTTTTCAGATTTTGAAATATTTTGGATTTTGGAGTTCTAGATTAGGGATATTTAACCAAAAAAGAAATCTGAAGGACTTTTAGTCCCAAGCATTTTGGGTAAAGAGATGCCCATCTGTGGTACATGAAAGATGCAGCCAGTCCTGAGAAAAGTGTGCTATAAGCAAGTAATGTCCTAGCAGAACGTGAAGGAGTGATTCCAATGGAGTCAGGATTGCTCATTGCCTCCACAGTCAGTGCACAGAAACTGAAGGAACAGCTGTGACCCCCAGAGTCCTCCATCTCCCCAAACCCCATTTCATCTCCCCAGACCATGACCTCCAGAGTCCTCCATCTCCCCAGTACCCATTCCATCTCCCTAGACTCCTGCACCCAAACAGATAGTATCCACATTGTCATTATATCTTGCATTCACTGTTGATTCAACACACCAGACAGCAGCCCTAATAAAAAATTTTAAAACCAGACCTTCCTTTATAACCACAGGTGCTGCCTTGTGTGTCCAGCTGATAGCCCCATCCCCATCCTCCAAGGTTCCCTGTGGGTCA